TAATTTGTCTTAGTTTGATTGAGAACAGGTTTTAAATACACGAAATCACTGTAGATTTCCTGTACTTTACTTACAAATTTCATGTAATCCAGAGTCTTACCTGAGCTCAAGCCTCTGAAATCTGGATTTATGTGTGGCTTGAATTTATGTTCTATCATTCTAGGGATATTCTGACTTGACAGTCTTCCAGTGTCAGTTCCACAGTTCCCTAGGGTGAGGATTTCTGGCCCTTTTGCTTACTTATTCCCACACTGCTTCTCTGTATAAGACTTCACATCTTCCAGCTGCCTATACATCAGCAGTCTCTGGTCAGATGTCTCTGTGAAATGCCGGGAGGATGGATAATCACACATGAGTTCCAATTGCCTTCTGGTGTAAATAGAGCAGAAAGTATCATTTCAGGAGGGACCTCCACAATTGTGCTCTGCATGAAAGTTTGAGCAAGAAACAGCAAAAGAGGTGATAAAATAACTGGTTCGTCTTTAGCTTGAAAGAACTAAAAATCTCAGCATCAAATTCTGCATAATGAAGTGACCAAAGCAATTCTAAAATTTATTTGTTTCCTGTCTCTGTTGAAAGGACTATGAAGGTCCTACCATCTCCTTCCTCACCCCTCAATCAGCATGAAGATTCCAGTGAAAAGCCTCTAACAGCACAATATGAGTTTCAAGACATTAAAGGAGTGGTCCAAGGCAGAATTAGGGAATCTAGACTAACTGACCCATACTTTGGAGGATTTTCTGGAATGTGATTCACAGTCATTGTTTATGGTGTATCACACTATGAAATACCTTAACCTCATGAGGGAAGAAGGCGTGCTACTTCCTCAGCACGACCCTTCTTATACCATAACCTAGCCTGCAAAGTTAAAGTGGGCCAAGATGGCTTCAAATCAAGGTAAATGTTTTGAAAAGCCAGCTAATTATTTCTAGCTATAATTGAACCGATTACTTAAAAAAAAAAAAAAGAAAAAATCCAAACTGTAAGGAGAAATGTGTACATAGTTCTTCATACACTTTCACTCTATAGCTTTGTCTTACTGCTATACTGCTAAATGCAGTTTCACTAGTGCTAGCTTCATGGCATAATCTATGCTGTGTCACAGTGAGTTAAATTAAAGTTTAAATTAAGAAGTTCCTTAGTGGCTTGTGCCACTGGTCTTTCCCTTTTCAGAAGGGAAATATGGAGACAATATGACTAGTAAAATATAGACATAGTTTAAATGTTTCACCACTGCTAATTGTTAATACTTGAGAATTTTTCACACAGGAAAAAGGTAAGACATCTGAAGATTCTGTGCAGATCAAGCATGGCCTTTCTATAGAGTTCCCTCCTATAACTAATCTGCTAAGCAGACGGCAGGGAAGGAAAATCCTTTTAGTATAGGTGCTGTCCAGCTATAGAACTGCAAAACCTTAGGTCTAGGGATTAGCATTATTTTAGGAATGATGGAGGGAAGCCTGCATCCAAGGCTTTGCTAATCTGAAATAGTAGTAATGTGTCAACCTTTTAGTTTGATCCCCTTGTGCAATAGTCACATATGACAGTACTTTGGGTTTAGGTGTCTTAAATCTACAATAATTACTAGTCTGTCTGTGAGTTAGTAAACTGGCCTGAAACAGCTTTTGGACAAATGAATGATCAGAGATGAAATATATTTGTTATGTAAAATTATCAACTTTTGGCCTTGCAAGCTGTTAGCGTAAAAGGAAAGACTTTTTCTGTCTTTCCAATGATAAAAAACCCCCTTGTTCTTTCCTTGCTTTGGTAGAACTTTCTACCTTAGACAAGCCTGAGTCAAACACCCAGATTACTGTAGAGCAGATGGGAAACCAACAGGGAAATTTTTCTTGGATGAACTATGGGAAAAATGCCTAAAGATTTGTAATGCAGATTGAACCAGCACCTCTCATTCAGTGAAGAACTGAAAAGTGTAAAAGAGAAAAAGAGAAGTGAGACAACAGGGATGAAATTGCAGCCCCTTTGTTCTCTGATACTGAATCAGAGATGAAGGAGCAGAACTGTTGGGAGTTGGAATACTACCCTACTGACACGATAACTTAAATGGTCGAACCCTGCTTTAACATCCATGGGTACCTGTGGGTCGTCCTTCATACTAACAGCTGTGCAGTGACATGAGGAACAAGTCCATGAACTTGTGCAGCAAACAGCTATTCCCATTTCTCACTAACTCCCATGCAACCACCCAGCTCTCCACTGCCACTACCGGTGAGAGTGTGTTGCTGGTTATTAATGTTCCTTTAACACATATTTTTTCAACTTTGTCACTTACTTCTGGTAGAGGGGATTCTTGTAATGTTTTTCATTACAGGATTTAGTATTTCAATAATTATTTTTAATAAATTGGTTTAATGGTAAAATATGTTATGGTGTAAATTCTCGGAGAAAAAAGGAAGGATCATGAAGTTATACCAGAAATCTTATAAATTGTTGGGAAAAACCCAACAGTAAATAAACAGTATGCTACAACAGCACAATACATTCCTTCATTATTCCTTCATACAGGTTACCCACTCATTGTGCAGATGGGGCACACAACCCTAACAGGATTACACATTGTTTTTTTCAGTGGTGGTAGACACTTTCTTCTTGTTGGTACTGGGTCTTGAATGTTTCCTTAGTAGTAATCTTGACTTGGCATGTACTTTTCAGCTGTACAGATGCAGCATGTCAAAATAAAAATCACTGGACACTTCAGCATCTTAGCATCATTGGCAACACCGTTTTTCCTTCAAACATACCTCCTTCTACTGTTCTGCAACTCTGTAGTTAAGCTTTGTGCTCAGTAGACTTACTTCTGTAAACAGTGGCAAGACAAAGTATTATTCAGAAAGTCTCATCTTGTTCAGATAAATTAAAAAGTTGGCCTAAGGACACTGCACCTTCATGATGAACTGTGTTCAGTGCCTTTGCAGTCAAACAAGACCTGCACAATAACTAAATAATACATTTAAGTATCATATATACAAGCACTATTGATTGAGATAATGGACTTAACAAAGTTGGTACAGCCTCAGAGTTACTATTTCAGATATGTTAAAAACGTTCTCTGTTTGTGAATATATCACATTATTAGCTGATTCACAAGCTTCACTGCCACATCATTCATTTTGCCTTTTAACAGCAAAGTGGTTACTTAAATGCAGAAGTCAAGAAAACCAAATTCTGCATAGCAAAAATATGATTTTATATATGTATATAAGTATCTACAAAACTTTTAAAGGTAAAATTTACTTTTGAATATGTGTTCCATGAATTGAAAACTGGAACATTTTTCCATTTAAAATTGTGTTCAAATAAGATTGAGATTTGTTCTTTTTTGTTTTTGTTTTTCTGTTTTGGTCAGCAAAACTGAAGTCAATTAAAAAATGAATATAATAAAAATCCCTTAAATCTGAAAGATTTCCATAAAACCTATAAACTCTAATAATATTTGCATTCTCTTAGGAGGAATAATTGGCAAATTGATTGTATAGTGGCTGCTTAACACTTTGGTTTGCAATATTTCTATGCATCCAAGAGACAGAAATGACTATTCCACTCTATTCCAGGTTGTAGCTAGATTTTGTAGTGAAATATGCCTGTTAAGACCAAGTCCCAACTCAGCTATGTCATTTTTAGCTCAATACAGAACTGCTCAGGTTAAAATTCTCTTTTCTTGCAAAGAAAAAGAAAATGGGATGTTTATGTTAAAGCTCTGTGGCTATTATGGGAATGAAATTGAGACAGAAATCCTCTGCTCATGAAACAAGTACACTGTTAACAGTGGATGGGCTTCTTAGTGATTCTCCCCCCCTAAAAAAAGAATCATCAACAACACTTGAAGTCACCCCTTGACTACAGCAGGGTAAGGACCGGTGTCTGGTTCCCAGCTGCAATATTGTTTTGATGAGATAAAAGCTTTTGCACTACTGTCAGGAAGCAGCAAGGGCAGATGCTCTGACAGGGAATAGGGAGCCAAGGGCAATGCCACAGTCAGCAGGGCAGGGTCCTGGCTGTCCCAGTGAGGAAGCAGGGCAGGACCAGAGCTAACAGCTGATATTCAACCAAGAGTTCAGACCATTAGAGAAGTTTGTGGTGGTGAGGCAGGTCCAAGGTCAAGCTGTCAGTCTATCTGCAGGTCAGATCAGACCCAGTAGGTGTAACTGGGGTCATGATCTCTGAGGATGTCCATGGTGACAAAGTGAGGCCAAGGCCATCAGCCCATGGGTGGAGGTTAGGAGCAATGGGGCCCATGGCCAGGCTGAAGACTGACACTCCCTATGATCTCGCTCAGGCACGGACTGAGGAATCCCCAGACACTGTGGGCAGGGGTTGGGGGAGACCCTTGGTGAAGCTGTTGAGGAACTTCAGGGTCTATTAAAGCCGTGAGGGCCCTGACAACTACAGCATAGAGTATTGTCTATTGGCCCACCACCTCATGCCATGTAGGCCATTCAAAACTCATTAGAGATGTTTACCTTGTGATGTTTGAAGAACTTCCTAGAGATGAAACTGTCATCTCAGAGTTGTCATGTTCCCTGAAAAAAGTCTTAAAGCACAATTTCATCATTCCCATTTATTATTTAAATCTAATATACTGCTTCTACTCAAATTCAAGTTATTTTCCCAGTGAAAGAGTGGCAAATGCAAATTGCTAACCTGTAGAGATGGATGTAGAGACCCCTGGTGGCCTAGTGGTTAGCGTGCAGGACTTTCACTGCTGCGACCACGGGTTCGAATCCCGGTCTCCTGGCCTGATGGAGGTCGTTAGCCCTGTGTGGCCATCCATCTATGAGAAGGACACTCTAAACAAACCTACGTCCTGAGGACCTCACTGCCATTGTCCAAGCTTGCTTGGCCCGGCAGATGAACCTTAGGATTAAAGGGTGGGCTCAGTTCAGCGCAGGCTGTGTCTCACCTAAAAAATCCATTGCGCAGGCTGGAAAGGTAAAAGACCTTTTCCCAAATCTTCGTTCGCGAAGATGGGCCATTATTATTAGAGATGGATGTATAATTCTGCATATGTCTAGAACTCAAAATTGAAGAAAATCATCCCAGGGGTATCTTCTTAGTAAAGTTTCACTAAAAAATCCAGTCTTAACTTTGAAACTTTTTATTCATTTCATATAGAACAAGCTTACTGACTGACATATATGGGCACTTATCTGAGGATAACGCTTAGTCTTACTGCAGAAGTGTGTAAATTTTATGCTGTTCAAAAAGTCTTAGTTTGGACCCATTTTAAGGTTACTCACCAAAGGAAAATAAGAGTATATAAGAGGCTTTCTGCTTAAAGTGAATTTTTAATGCAGTTCATATTGGCTTATTTTGTGTAAATAAACAAGAATTGAGAAATGTAAGGCTAGGTAGAGGTCAGATTTTGTCATTTAGTATCTGTTCCTAAAAGGCCTCTCCTTGCAAATAGTACCTCATACAGAATGCACAAAAATGAAAGTTTTAGTCAATTAAGTTTGTTTAAATGGCATTATGGAGGATAAGTCCAAATTGTTTCAAAAAATGTTATTCTGGTGTTCAGAGACCTTGTACTTAGGCAGTCAGCCAGAATCCATCACCATGGATTCACAACAATCAAGACCTTGACAAGTTTTATGTCTAAAGAAAACCAGTTAGTCAATTAATGGTTAAAGACTTCAAAACATCTTTTTGTTAGTATGACACTGATTCAAAAGATAAAAGACCACGCAAATCTTTTCAATAGTTTTCTGTTCTTTTCTCCAGATCTTCTGAGGAGGAGGAATGACCAAAAAAAAAAAAAATCCAGCCACAAATCCTGCTAGAATGCATAATAGTTAACTAGTAGCCAATCGTTTAGAGTAACTCTTCCATTAGCAATTGGTACATTTCCTCTAAAACAGAAAGAAACTTTCAATAGATTTTACAGTTTCAGACTTCAGTCTTTAATTGGATGTGGCCATTTAATTTTGAATGAAATAGTTTTTCTTTTATTGCATTCTGATACATGCCAGCTTTGACAGAGAAAGCAAGCAACATAATGCTCATATGGCACATTAAGAGCCACACTCTGTTGTGGCTTTGCACTTCAGAGACACTAAATTCTGCAAAATTTGTTCATTAAAAGGCTTGACTACAGCAGTCTCAGTGTTAGAGGTAATGCAATAATTGAAGGAGACACAATTGCTTTTTCCAAAACCTATTTTTGAACTCTATGAAGGGAGAAAATAACAAATTGTCTGCCCCTATTTCTTTTCATATCCTTTAGCTAGCTGCACTTATTGCAGGAGCTCCTCAATGAAATTCTGTGCCCTGGTAATACAGAAAATCTGCATCATCACAGAGATTTTACTCATCATGAAATCTAAGATATCTTTTAGGAATCTATATTTCTTCAGAAAACACATGGTTCTGATTCCTAAAGCTACTCAGAACTCACTGCTCTAAGTGCTATTGAGCACTAAATATTATAGTGAGGCTCATAACGGACATAATGCAAGTACATGCATGCACACTGCCTTGTAGATTTTCTTTGCTTGCAACTTTGACCCTCCTCAGCAGCCATTTGGATGCCTTCTAGAACAGCCAAGGACTTAGGATGTGGCAATTCCTGGGAATCTCTTAAAGCAAATATCTTCCCAGTACATGCCTCCCCAACTCTGCTGACATGAGCAAGTTCTTTCATGAACATAAATTGTTTGCTGGAGGAAAATTCAGTGCTTTCTTTTAGTGGCCTAATTTTGGGAAATTATCCTTATTAGGATTAGTGTTCAAACAGAAAAATGCTAACACATCACTGGACTCAGTTTTCACCGAAATTCTGCAATCCAGTGAAGTTCTCATAAGCAGTTCTTGCTTCCAAAATACCAGTTTTCTTGGTACCCAACAGTTCCAGCTATGTAGATGACCTGGAATAAACAATTTAGATATTCAAATGCACTGATTGCATCTGCAGACTTGCCGTAGCTTTAAGAATAATCTACGTAGAAGTATGAGATAAAAAAAGAAAAGCCAGAGAAATAATATATTCTCTTGTGTGAATTTCAACACCAGTCTTGAGAATTCTTTGGCCTAAAGCTGCCCAGGATCCTTCTACTGTAGACCAATTTTTTCTTTTAATTATTATTTTCAAGTTAGTTTCCTTCCTCTAACAGTGAACAGACCTGCAGATAAAGCAATTCTCCAGTGGCAAAATATTGCACGGGTTTTCCTCTCTTCCACTCAGAGAATCAACTTATGTCCCTTAATTGCATCCATTTGAATAATTTTAAACTCATCTTTTTTTTCTGTCCGATTTCAATAAATGTCATACTCGAAGGCACCTGCAGAGAAGATTGATGAACCATCTTCCAGCAGCCATCAACTTTCTGCATATATAAATTGTTTATTCAGGGCTCAGTCACAAAGATCAAATAGTTTCTTCACTCATACCACAGTAGCAGCTTTATCAGTAAGGTAGACACGTTACACAGTGCCACCATTTTCAGAAAAACAACCTCAAAGCATCAACCAGGATTCATTAGTTCTACTTAAACAGATTCCCCAAACATGACAGAGTCAAAGGAATGGTAGAGAGCAGACTGGAGACAATTCGTATGGGAACTAAGAAATTACATGTCCTTAGTACTTTTGTCATTGTTAACATGAACAGTGGTTACTAAAGTTCATGGAGATGACTCCACTGTTCAGGTTAAAGGTATCTTTTTGCACAAACCTACTATCAGCCTGGTTGATAGCCTCTGCACCTCATAGTGCTAGCAAGGGATTTTCTACTGTGCATAAATTACACTAAATTAACCATCACTGGCAGGTGGGTGGTAAAATTATATATTTTTACTGAAGCCAGCAGTTGGGATTTTCAAGGGCATTCTTCTTTTCGTTTCAACAGGAATATCAGTGAAAGAATGTGCACCCTGAAAAATTCTGCCTTTGTATTTTCTTCTTGGCTGGAAACCAAGTTGCTGTCAAAAGGTGCAGCTCATCAAGAGAGGGAGCCTTTGTTTTGTTTAATTTCAAAGTTATAAAACATAAAACTGTGAAACTGTGGTAATAAAATTTCAGCCAACTTAAGCAGGGATGCAATATATTACCAAATGTTTTCTGAAGCAATGAAGATTCAAAGTGTGGCTTCCTCTTTTTGCGTTTTCTTTTTGTCACAGCAATTAAATTATTCTTTTTGAAAATAAACTTAGGCATCCATTTATTTTCAAGGATATGTTTTCATTAACTCAGGTCTAGAGCTATTTAAAAAACAGGAGAAAATATTTATCACTGTTTTCATTTGATTAGTTGAAATGTTGCTGGCAAAATCAACATTTCAACATGTAAAACTTTTTCATTAATTCTAGGAATGTCAACAGGGACTGGTTCAGCAAAAAAGGCAGGGATAGATCTATGCCCAGTGGTCACAATGTATTGGAAAATTAAATCGACTTGGTAAATCTGTGCTCGAAACACCAGATAGAATTAAGTTGCAAGCATTAGAGTTGTCTTCTCTTTCCAAGTCCAAAGTATGAGCTTTCCTGAAAGAATCTCCTTTGCAGAATGCTTTGTGCATCAACCATTAAAAACAAACAAACAAATGAGAAAAAACGCCTGGCTTTTCAAAATGTCTCATGTTGGCTGACTAGAAAAGCCAGGTCATGAATCATTTGTAAAAAATCTTGCTCATCATCATTGCTGCAACACAGTTGGAAATCTTTGGATATTCTAGGCCTGTATATATGTATACATGTACATGAGTATAGTTCCTCTTGTGGTTCCCACTTCTTCATCTGCCAGCTGAAATATTTTGAGGTGAGAGGGGAGTTTTGCCAAGGGGAAAAGGTTCACACATCTACTGTAAAGTTCACATTCACATTTGACCATATTATAACGTAGCAGAATGCACATGTAGGAGATGTTTCATGAAATCCACTGAAAACCAACGTGGGGGGATTTAGAAAAAAAAAAAGGAGTAGAAAGAACTAAAAAAATTCTATTCTATTGTAATAAAACACCCAACTTAGCTAATTATTTATGTATGCTCTTCAAAGTTAGAAGAACTCATTAAAATTGAGCACACGAACCAAGACTTAATCAACTGTAGTTATCAAATTCAGCTAGCGGTAAGCCACAAGCTCTGAAGGGCCCCAATTGACTGATAAATGCAATATTTTTTTAATTTGTACAATAAAAATAGCAGTATCATTTAATGCAAAATGTGAAAAAATTATTACAACATAGTCACCCTCATCCCGAGCTGAGAGTTTGGCCCTGGTCCTCCTCTCACTGAGACTATGAGCATGGTCTCACTGATACATCTGATTTACATGGTGTAAGTATGCCTTTTTGTACACAAAATTTTAGCATACAGCAATCTCTAAAGGCTGATTGCCACCCTCCCTCTCTCCTTCTTCCTTTATAACTGGGTTTATAACAAAAACATTGACACAGCCTTAACTATGGCAACATTAGCATTTGCCATTATAATTAACAGATTCTTCTTTTTTCTTTGTGATTTACATGCATATTTTCTTCCCAGTGCAGTAATCACAGATGGTATAGCTTGTAACATATACTATCCCCAAACAACAAATACATTCTTTTTAGAGTATGTCTCTGATAAATTTTATTTCAATGTAAAAGGTAATAGGCAGAAAATGTAGTTTGCTTACAAGTTTCCTTTATGGTTGTTTGACTGTCACTTTTCTGTAGATTTATGATAATCATTCTTGCAACAAAAACGTTTACTTCACTGTCTAAATAATAAGGTAATTTGTTACAGCTAATTACTCAAGTGCTTCCTTAATCTCAATTAAAAGATTCAGGCTGATTTTCTACATTTCTGCAGCAGTATGTTCCAGAATATCTTGTTAATGTATTCCCAATCACATATTTGTTAAGGAATGCATGGTCCATGCAAAACTGAAATGCTAAAATACATAGCTGCAATCTTAAACAATGATTTATTGTGACATGGGATGTGGGACATTTCCACAGCTTTTGTGATTGCAGTAATGAAGCTGTAAACCAAATAGCATGAAATGAAGCAAGGCCTTACAATTTAATCAGCTCGTAAACAGATCTACTGCATCAAGCAAATGACATTATTATCCATCCGAAGTAAATCATGCTAATCTCAGGAGATAAAATCAACATCATTAATGGTCACATGTCATATTCATCAACACTAAACCATCCCTTTTGACAGATTAATCCTAACTACAGCTCCCACGATGTATGGTAATAGGGCTTGTAGCATACATTTCATTCAGCAGTAAGGCTAACCAGCACTCTTAGTCTGCTATTACAAATAATTTTTTTATTGATTTACATATTTTAAAATGCATTTAAGGTGAGGTACCATTAAAAATCCTGTCACTATCACATATTTCTTCCTCACATTCTCAGCCTGTATTAATAGAAACTAGAAACTAAACATTGTATGCCATATAAATACTTTCTTTAACACACTGTTAGTGGTAATTAAAGATTTCTGCCTGTGTTTTTCACTCAGCTATGAAAATATTCCTTCTTTTTAATAGGATTTAAAGAACTATTGATACTATTATTCTAATATCTCATTTGTAGTGTAGCAGAGCATAGTGCCCCTGGTCATGGATCAGGGCTCAATTGAGCCAGGTAGGATCCTGAAGACTATATTATCCATTACCCCATCATTAATGCAGCATCAAAAAACCTCAAAGACACATTTATGATATTCACTCTTCACTGCAGCTTATTGTGTCCTGCAGACTGGTTGTATATTTCTGCTCTGACTCTAGCTTCTGCGTATTGCCTATTTGTTCCAAACACAAAATATATTTATTTATCATGGAACTGACCCTGTATGAATGCTTTTGAAAAGTGTCCACTATTCAAAGTGTCACTTTCCCTGAACAGGCACTGAATTATATTGACAGGCACATTATCAAGGGCTGCTGACTGACAGAATGAATGACTGCGGCTACATGCCGCATTGCCAGTCATTGACTGAGTGGGTGCAAAAATTATCTACAACCTTTGGAGATCTAAAGGACTCTGAACTAAGGCTAGAAAAGAAGATATATGCAAGTGATTTACTTGCAGAGCATTTATCAACTTAGTACAAACATCTCAACTATTACCCAAACTACTTCACTAATGTAGTAATTCATTAATGGTTTATTCTCTCTCCTGAAACTATTTTTTTAAACATTCCTTTTATGCAATTATTAATGTTATGTTATTTAATATGTGTTTATGTTTCACCAGGGAAATGGTTGGGGTAATAATTTTAAAAGCAACCACTGCCTCCTGCATTTGTTTTTAAGCCAGTGTTGGTTAAGATGCATCTTAGTAAGATTATACGGGCAAGACAAAAACAATACTAGAGATGGCCTGTGGCTGACACATAGTAATCAGTAAGTTGGTTAAGAGAGAAGGCAGAATGCTTCCTGGACTGTGCTGGAGCTTTAGGAAAACACTAAACTAACCACAAAAGCATTTCATTTACTTGCCAAAATAATTTATTAGCCAGACTTATTTTTGATTGACATAATGGCAGCTTGAAGAAGTAGACCACAAAATTCTACTTTTTGTAAAAATCACATCTATTGACTAGGGAAAAAAGAAGGGTAATAAAATTTTTCAATAAGTGCATTAATTTCAAAACCTCAAAGTACTAATGTCAAATTTACTGGAATCCACTGACCTTTAAGGAGCTTTTAAAGATTTTATGACTTAGATTGTCACATTACTTACCAAGAATAGTTAAGAAACTGTTTTTCCTATCTAAGGTTTTTAATGTTGAAGTTGTGAAGACTTTCTCTTTTCTGTCACTGTCCTTTTTACTCTCAGTGCTCCCATACTTCAAGCTCAACATAACAAGTTACTTAATCTTTGACAGGCTGCAGACATCTGTGGTGCTCATCAGTGATGGTGGTTAGAGGACTAAAAGAATCACTGATGAGGAAGAACAAAAAACTCCTCATAGGATTTTTGTGCTACTGCATAACATCTTAGTGAGAGCACAGTGTTGTTGAGCTTCTGCTCCTCCAAAACCATGTCCTAGTACCTCCTAGACGTCTACTCCTACAAAGGTTTACTAGGTAAAGCCAAGATGAAAGCAAACTATCTTTTAAGGGATATGGTTTAGGTGAGCAAAAGAAACAAACTGGCTTCTCAAGCAATACAAACAAAACTGGCAACAGAACTTCTTGGTAGTGTAAGTGGTGTATAAAGCAAAGTTTTGCCAGCACAGCTATGGTGCAATAAATGAAGAATAAAAATAGTCCCTGATATAGCTATCAGACAAAAAATTTCCTGTGTAGATCAAGTCCTAGGAAGACACATCACTTGAACAAAAATGATTAGCATCTAAAAAGAAAAACTTTTATCTGCAAGAAATGGAGGAACAAGACCATATACAGTGGGCAAAAGGCAGCAGGAATGTCTACAATAGCTCATTTATGTGCATGTTAAGAGTACGGATTAGGACAACCATTAAAAGGATAAGGACAGTCCCACAGGCCTAATAGACAGCTAAGAGTAAAATCTATTATTTTTATTCCTAATATTTTGTCCTCTCAGTTTAGTAATTGTATGAAAAAACCTTCTTTGAGAATTTTGTATAATATTTAGCAGTGGGACTCACATAGTAGTACCACATGTATTACTATGACACCGCATCATCTTAAGTTTTTTTAACAGACTTCATTAAAAATACCATTAGCTAATGATACAATTAGAGAGAACTTTTTAATCCATTTGTTTCATCTCTGAAACACAGCTGTAATAGCAAGATGTGCTTGGTTTTAAATAAGTCCTGATAATATTCTATCAGTTTAAAGGGCTACACATCGAAATTACACAGACAACTGGTTTAGTCTAAAAATGATAAAACATGTCAGGATATAAAGATCATTTCATTCCTTGAAAAGAAGCCGTGACTTAAAATATTGTGCTTTGGTTGCATGCACAAGATTCCTATAATCAATCATCCAAAATAAACTATTTAGGAGTTGACTTGAAAGCAAACAAGCTAAAAACCTGTTTTAAAAACCATTAAAAAAGGTTAGGAACAGAAAACATCTTCATTTTTATGTATATGTTGTTTCCTGGTTTAAGTTCAGTGCAATTTAAGTCAATCTACTTAAGCAACAACAAAGTTTTCATGCTGGTAACATTGCCAGTTACAAGCTAATACTATTACCTGAAGATATGCATAACTTATTACCAGGGAAATGACTGTTAAATAGTTGAGAATAAAAGCCAACTAGAAGATGTGGGTTATCCACCAGTGACTGGTAAAGAAGGATGGATTCTCCTGAGTGTAAATGTATGCTGAAGGACATTCAAAGTAACATACAATGGAGTTAGCATTTTACTACCATGATGCACTGGTGACAATGTTGGTGGAATATGCAGCACTGGATATTTAGGCCCCAATTTCTCTCCAGTATTTGAACTTGGCTCAGGTTTGTAATAGGTAGTGAAAAAAATAATCATTACTTGCTCATTAACCAGCATAGAATAAGTTATTGGTTATTGCATTGTTTGAAATCTAAAACACTTTTAATAATCAATGTAAAGGATGCAGGTTGAAACATTAGTTAGAATATATGAAGAATTTATATTATTATAAAAAAAATCACTAAGAAGCCCTGGGAGTAACCTAAGCTAGATATGCAGAGCTCAATCTATAATGCCATTAACACATTGAAACGCCCCCCCCCTCAGTGGAATATGCCTCAAATATGTAATTAGTGGCATGGTAGTATTAGTTCAACAAAGGTATCAAGGTAAGAGAGACCTTATGAACATCATAGCAAAAAACTCCTGACAGCTGATTTTCCTTTCGGCCATTTGGTATGTAAAGTATAGTAAGTTTATGCACCTATGCAGTGAAAAATTGATTCTTTCATTATGTTCCACTTAATTTCTTCAAACCACCTTTCATGAGTAATCTACATTGCCACTGTTGGATCACTTAGAAGAAAACCCTAACTCTGTAGCTGACACCTTCATTTTCATCCCAACTGACTGTAGAGATTCTAATTTAGAGAGACAAAAGTATATTATGCATAGTAATAAGAGGAGCAGTACCAGATCAGAACTTAAATCTAAGGAAATGAGAAAACACCTTTTTTATACTTACTGTATATAGACATAGAAAATACATGTAGCTCATATGCGAGCAAAATTAGCCTCTCTCATTTTCCCATTTGCAAGCTTAACAGTGATATAAGCATGGACTTCAACAATACAGTCTTTCAGATTTAATCTTCTCACACTGAAAGAGAGAAATCCAGACTGAAGAGTAAAGAAAATACATCCTTTGTTAAACCTGTATTATAAAAACATAAAACAATAAAAAAGTTTATTGCACTCTTGACTTTAAAGTCTCCTTTCAAAGTTTTCTTTCTCCTACAATATAGTCAGAGATAAATCATGCAAGCACAGGGATCCTTGCAGTTAATTTAAGGCTCAGTAAAGACAACATAAGATAGAAAAAACTCAGGTTTTTGTAGTGTTAGCCAACTTTTGCAATAAGGTGAATCACTTTTGATTTTTTATTTTACAAAAGGCCTACCTGTGCTCCTTGGTTCTTTTCCTTTTTTCCCTTCATTCTGAATGCCAGAGGATAAAAAATCAGTTTATTATTGAATCTTTATACACAAAGAAGATTATGAAAGCACATGCAGGATGATCCATTTCTTAGCTGTTGACAGTGGAGCTGGAAAACTCTGGAAACACTTTTTTTGTACTGTTTGGATTATAAAAGGATCTTGAATACACAGACTGATTGGCTTCAATGGATTAGCCATAGCTATCTTAAAAACACTTTTGAGCTTATATGGACATTCCCTAGCTTTTTATTTTAATGTGAAATTCTACTCTGAGAAACAATCATCAAAGCAACGCCTTTGTCATCAAACAAGTTTTATTTATGTGTGTGATGCATGCTCCTCTTAGCAGCTCAGTTAACTTTTGGTTTTATATAATACTCAGAGGGAACTTGAGCATTTGGGCTCTGAATTCTTAACTGAATCCCAGTGGGAAGATCAGATAGCATCTGGCCTTTATGAATCAACGTAGGGTTGCTGCTGGGAAGGAAAGGGTAGTGCTTTGTTCCCCTTTACTTTTGAACAATCATAGCATATATAGTGACCAGAATCAGTTCCTCCTGTCTTCCCCTGCAGCAGGTAATGCAGTGGCATCATCTTTTCAGTCTTTCACCCAGTCTAGTGAACTAGGCAAACACAAAAGCCTTGGTTCATTAAGAGACATCTCAACTCCTGGGAGTCCCTTGGAAACAGTGCCCGAGCCACCAGTGTTAATTCATCATGAAGTTCCTGGAGTAGTATATCTCTTCCATACCCTTTCCCATCCCCTGCCACAGAGATATTCCACCTCTCTGGGACCATCTAGCCTATGACCCAACCACAACCAGCTCAATCTGACTTGCAGATATTAGTGCATTCAACTTGGGTTGGGATATAAGTCCTTCTCTTGTAAATGGAAAACATTTTGACTAAAAGCTGTCAAATTGCAGCAAGTAGTGAAGTCCACAAGGCTTTTCTCAATGTCATTTTGTAGACGGAAAGAAAAAAGCCTTTAAGGAGAGCATATAAGTTATGGGATTGGGTTTCCAGAGGGCTTTTTGGGATCCTTTTAGACCAAGAGTTTTCTTACATGGTCAGAGCAAGGGCTGTGTGAAACTCAGTAATTTTGACTGTCATGCTATTTTTCAGTTCCAGCTTTCATCACTTTGTGCCTTTTGGGTCTAGCTTTGCCTCCACTTAAGTGGTTGTCAATGTAGAATAAATCACATGAAGACTACTTAGGGCCATGCTCTTCACCCAGCCCACATAATAGAGGAAGGAACTAAATCCCCAGAAATAAAGGGATATACTCTCCTACTCAGCATGGCTATTGAAATGCTGGAGAACTAACTGTTACACTGAAGATGAGAAATAATTGTTTTCTCTAACATGTACTCAATTCAAATTTGAGAGGACTCACAGCCCTCTGCTGCTTTTTTAGAAAATCAGGAAAAAATCTGCTGTGTCTTTTGAGCACAATGCATGACTAGAAGAGAGCAATAAAGAATGTATTGCACAATGCATGAGTAGCTGCAGTACAAATTAATATATTGTGATGGGTTTAGGAGACAGAGGGGTGTCCAGAGCTGGACCTGGAACAGTCAAGCCAGTGATTCATGGCTTTCAGTAGTGAGGCCAATGATTCTTGAATTCCAGCCTTTGCAACCATGCCTTGCCATTCATTCTTTTTCAGATGCAAAATATTGCATTCTTTCTCTAAGGGAAATATGTTAAAGGAAACTGGGATAGCTAACAAACTGGAAACTTAAGCACTCCTTTACATTTTAGGACAGGAGATAAATCAGGATCTTGATGTACATTTTTAAAGAAAAAAAAAGAGTGGCTTGAATCTGACTTACTCTTGCATAGGAAGCTCATGTAAGTGTGAAGACTCTAGAGAGGAGCTGGCTTCGTAGTAGGAAAAGCTTTTTTTGTTACTATTAGCAGCCTGAGGTGTGCTGATCATTTTATTCCTGGTATTTTGCCATCTCTTAACAAGCATTGCCACAAAATGACTCATGAGAAGGGGTTTTTGAGTGGAGTTCTGTCATTTTGGCACAGATTGCAAGTCTGATCATAGGGAAACCATTTACTTTTCCAATTACGTGGTCAAGGCACAACTGTAAGTACTGTAGAGTTTTCTCTTCCCATGTTAACCTATCAGGACCAGCCAACTAATAAACAGAAGAAAGTGAGTGTTTGGTGAACTTTACAGTCAGAAACTGTACACAAAAGTCTTCAGGCCATCAATTTCCCTTCATTATTTGTGTGCTGCTCTTGAAGACTATTCTTGAAATCAGTTTTCAGAAATGTATTTCAACAGCATACTAGAGATATAAATATTGTAATTCCTCTTTTTTTGATAGTTAGCTTTAGAAGCAACTGACCTGTCAGCTCCTACTCTTCTTCTGGTGAGGGTTTAAATCAACTCTCTAGTGGAAAACAATCCGATGTAAAGTTGAGCTAGACCTTTGCTAGACAAATCTTATTAAAACAGAAACCTTAAACAAACGCAAGGCTTTGTCACCTACACACTTGTTCTGCATATCTAATCCACACAATGGTTTGTTGACCATAAACTCTTTGCCCCTGTGGGAACCAAGAGTGATCTCCTTCACACTTCTTAACTTCAATATATTGCTTTCATCCCCTCTTTCCCCCTTCATTCCTCTCTTCCTCTGATCACAGAAATCCTCTCAGTAACTGTAACTCAACACTGGAAAACATTCCAGCATTTCACGGATCCTCACATCCGTTACTGTTTACAGGACAGTATCCCACAGCCAGGCAGTACTGAGCTGATCTCTGAGTCATTGAAGTCAGAGGAGACTCTGTCACAGAGAATAATAAGCAAATTTTGTGGGATATTTTGTATTACATCCAGGTGTATTTTTTTGTTAAAGGTATTTTTCACTTAATCTAAATAACAGGACATCAGTATCCGATGGGTATATTCTTTCTAATTTTGCTCAGCATAAAAAGCTTTTCCATTTACTATACTTTTGGTTCAAGGGCACAAAATGAAGTGGGGCAATTAAAAACAGGCAAATAATGTACCTGATGATTTACCATATTTTATTTACATTATTATATAGCTATTTGATGTAATATTGTCTGCTCCTGTCACTCTCTGCAATGTGTTTGATGATTCAGGGAATAAATAAAACCCGGGGTTAGCAAATAAATGAGAGCAGAATTGGCAGCACACCAAGTCTGCTTTATTTGACTGAGAGAGAGATGTGTTACATGGCCTGTTTGTTTAAATTACGCTGAGAGCTGAGATACACCAGGTGTTGTAGTTCATGGAACAGAGCCCTTAAAATGTTTGCAAAAACCAGATTTCTGTTTACTGGTTTGCCAGAATACAAAACCAGAAGGTTTACACTGACAAGTTGAAAGAACAGGACTCTGTGCTACCATTTTGCTATTATTTTTATTAATTAAAGTTACAGAAATGTCTCATATATACTGACTATCCAATCTCTATGTGTCTGTCTCTACATTGGAATATGTAGTATACATAATTATGTAAAATTATTCTAATGACTTATCTTAATGACTCTGAAATACCATAAGACATTCTGAAATATCATAATACAAATCAAGTTGTGCTATCTTTATTCAGCTAAACTCCCCTTAAGTTCAGTAAATGGGAGCTGGGTCTGAGAGATTTAATTTTTTAGAGTTTTTCTCCCCACTTCCTCTTCCATCAGAGACAGCCAGATAGAGTGGGTTAAAATCAAGGAGATCCCGAGCTGTTCTTTCAGGATAGGCATGGAAGTAGTGTCATAAACAGACCTTAGTAATAAACTATATCTAAAAATTGTTAATTTTCCTTAGGATCATACTAAGGATGCATTCAGGTATTCACTGCAGAGGTGACTGGGCCTCTAGCTTTGTGCTGCTCTCCACAGCATCCTGCAAAGCAAGCAGGGTGGGCAGATGAGTGATCCTCACCCACTTCATTGGAAGGTCAGCCAAGGCAGTTCAACCTATCATAGAAGACTGTTAGAAGTAATCCACTCAACTTTGCAGCGCTGTGGGGCCAATAACCTTTCGTAAGGGAACAGATTAAACCAGCAGGAGTTTTGTCTTAAGCTAGGAAAGCAGTTTCTGCAGTGAACATCAGATCACGGCCCGAATCAAGTTCAAAACTTGAATAGAGAGAGAGAGAGGTGGGGGGGAAGAAAAAAGGGGGAAGGGAGGAAGAGGACAAGGAGGACAGGAGGAGAGAGAAGCAGAGAGAGAGAGAGTACTCATTCCCCCTTTAACTCTATGATCTCTTACCAGCACTCTGAGCAAAACATACCTATCAACAAAACAAAGGCTAATGCATGTGAGGCTTCTTTAAGTCTCACCCAGTCATTTATTTGTTTTAGAGATTTTCTTCCCCACCTTGAATAGAAAAAGATTACTTTTTAAAAACCAACTGCAGCAGCAGGGACATGAGTTATCTTCCAACAAAAGGACATTGTCTCAGATTCAGTTATCTTTGAGACTGCCTTTTTTCTGTATCTTTTAGTGGTTATAACTTACAACTGCCTGGGGTGCTTTTATTGTCCGATTCAAACATCTTGATGGACAAAACATTCCTACTGACTCTCTCTGGAACCCTCTCTCTTGAAGCCTGCCAAAGCTTGAGTTTCAGCATGCACAGAACATACTGCAAGTAAAGTCTGCTTAATCTCACTTTGCATTTAGCAAGAAGATATTGGGATAGTCCCAGAGAAATGCTGAGATT